CCATCGAGCAGGCATGGGCTGGACCATGCACGGCGGGGGGGTGCAACGACCAAAGGTGCGCGAGCCAGGAAGGAGACCATTGTCTACCGCAGAGTAGACAGCGTGGAGAGGAAGACAGACTCGTCCACCAGACCAGACACGACCAGAAGGGTGGGGTGAGGGGGAGCGGGGGCGGGGAGAGGCGTCTCCTGTGCTGGACCAGGCGCTCGCGTGGCTGCAGCGGCACAAGGAGAAGGACTACAACGCCGCGCTCAAGCTGCAGGGGCGGAGGGCCGAGGGCGAGGAGGTGGAGGTGGAGGAGGAGGAGCCCGAGCCCGACGACCCCGACGTCGAGGTGTACGTCTGCGAGCCGCCGCCCCTCCGAGGCATGTGACGTGTCGTGGGTGCGAGCGCGGGCAGGGCGCGGCGCACAGCGGTCTCACGCCGTGGCGGCTCTGGCCGGCCGGAATAGCGGGGCGCCAGCCGCGCCGTCACGTGGTCCCCTCTCCGCCTCGCCCCTCCCGACACCTTTTGTGGACATGTATATGTGCGTCGTGTCGTCCGGTGCCAGGTCTTCTAGCGCTGTGGAGTCGTCTGTGCTATTGCAACGGAGTTGCCACTTCTCCGACTGCCCCGGCTAGTTCCCGAGGTCGTCGGGTGTGACCCCTTCGTCCCCCGAGACCTCCCTTCCGCATCCGTTCCATCCCACTCCTGCACGCTCACTCCCGATTTTTCTGCTCCGTTTGGAATCCCCTGGATTAACTCGCTCGCTACCCACCCAGCAGCTGTCGCCCCCTCCAGCTTGATAGGTCCCCACACCCCTGTGAATGCATAACTCGTGTCGTCACAGTGCGCCTTGACACCCACACTCCTCCGTAGCACTTTCCTCGCAACCATCACCTCACCAGGCATCATCTTTGAAATGAATCTCTCTCTCTCTCTCTCTCTCTCTCTCTCTCTCTCTCTCTCTCTCTCTCTCTCCTGTTATCATACCGGGAACCACGGAGCCTGAGATCTATGAACATCCCCCATCCCCAGCCAGGGCCTCCAGGGCTCGCACCTCAACCTCTCACAGACCAGCGCGCGCACACACACACACACCAGCGCACAGCGCCTATGGCGTCCTTCCTACTCCTCGCCCTGCTCCGAACCGCCGCGGCGGAGTCGCACTACGACGTGCTGGGCGTCGCGTCTGATGCTGCACCAGACGCTATTCGCGCCGCCTTCCGCCGCATCGCCCTCGCCGATCACCCGGACAAGCTTCCGCCCGACAGCGCGGCAGCGGTGCGCGAGGCGGCCGTCCGCCGCTTCCAGCGCGCCAATGAGGCCTCCTCGCTCCGCCCGTGCGCGCCGACAAGAACCTGCCACGAACCTCGGTACCTTCTCGGAACTTTCCTCTTAGGCCTTTGAGTGCCTCTCCGACCCGACAGCGCGCCAGCGGTACGACGAAGAGATCGCGTGGGGGCCTGCCGCCGCCGCCGCAGCGGCAGCGAACGGCGGAGTGAGGCCGCCGCCGCCGCCGCCGGTGGTGCGAGTTCCAGTGCGCGCGACGCTCTCTTCTCTTGGAGGCTGGACGGCGGCCAGCGTCGACCCGCGCGCCTACGCGTCCGCCTTTGGGCAGCGCATCACCCGCGAGATGGCGGAGAGGGGCGGGCTGCCCCTCAAGACGTACCTCCCGCCCGGATCGGCGGCGGGAGACCTCGTGGCGTGCCCTCTCCCCGCTGTCGGCGTGACGGTCGCGTTTGCGCTGTCCGGCGCGACGCCTCCGAGGTGGAGGGTCGCTGCCGAGGCGGTCGGGCTGGCGCGGAGGCAGTCGGGCTGGGAGAGGCGCGGCGACGACTTGCACCTGACAGTGACCTTGCCTGCGTGGCGGAGGGGGCCGCTGCGGAGGCGGGTGCGCGTGCGCTCGCCGAGTGGGCAGCTGCTCACTCTGCTGCGGCGTGGGGCGGCGCCGCCACCTGGCGACGAGGCGACGTTGGCAGGCGATGCGTTGCCGAGATTGCCCGAGATCACCCGGAGATCACCTGAGGCGAGAGATGGCCGAGAGGTGGCTGTTTTCACGGTATTCGCAGCCCGTCGGGTGATCGAGAGAGGCGTGAAGGGCTGTGTGTCATGCGACATTTGATGAAATAGTGAGGATGATCTTGGCAGGCGAGGGGATGCCTCGGCGGCAGCGCGACGCCGCCTCGACGCCCCTATCTGCGGATCGCGGCGCTTTGCGAGTTGGTTTCACACGCCGGTCGTGGGGATCCGGTGGCACTTCCCACAATCTATCAACTCTCGCATCACACACACCATTCTCCCTCTCTCCCTCTCTCCCTCTCTCCCTCTCCCCGACTCACAATCGATCAACTCTCGCATCCCCCCCCCCCCCCGGGGGTTTCCCTCCCCCTCAATCGGTCGGGCTCTTTCCGGACTCGCCAGCCTTTTTTTGACTTTTTTTCCCTAAGGCCCCGTCCATTAAACCCCCCCCCCCCACACACCCACCCACCCACCACCACCCCACCCCCCATCCAGAGTGCCGCCTCGCCGCGACACGCGCAGCCGCGCTCGCCGCCGCCGCCGCCACATCTTGCGCCACCGCCGCCGCCTCACGGCGTCTGGCGCCCGCTGCCGTCCGCGCTGCACACGTGTACGCTTCCCTCGGCGCGGGACGCCGTGGGCTGCATGGAGTTGGGCCGGCGGGGCTGGGTCGCCTGACCAGCCGCGGTGAGCTTGTGTGCAGGCGCGGACGCCGCTCGCGCACTCTGCCTTCTCCTCTCGCGCCACATGCTCGCGCGCGCCACACCAGCCAATACCCAAGCGAGGCGGCGCGAGGCGGCGGGTCGGCGCCGGGTGAGGGTCGAGGCGAGATAGCCGAGATCTAGCCGAGATCTAGCAAAGATTGCGAGGTGTGGCAGGGGAGGAGGGAGGTGCGGCCGAGGTGCGGCCGAAGTGCGGCCGAGGTGCGGCCGAAGTGCGGCCGAGGTGCGGCCGAGGTGCGGCCGAGGTGCGGCCGAGGTGCGGCCGAAGTGCGGCCGAGATCTTGCCGAGATCCGAGGTTTTTCCCGAGCGGAAGTGGTGTACTCCCCCAGTCTCTTCGCACCCTGCGTCTGTGGTGTGAACAGGCCCGGCGGCGAGAGGCGGCGCGGCGGCAGCGGGAGCGGAGGTCGGAGCGCGTTCGTGAGGCGAAGGCCGCCGCCGGTCGGCGGGCGGTGCGAGGGTGGAATTGGGCGTTCGACAAGGCGCCTCTCAAGCGTCGCCCGTGAGGGCACGTAGCCGCGCCATCGCACTTCACAGACCGAGGTTGATGAAAAGTGCGCGACGCACCCAAAGCCGGATTAAAGATGTATTTCGTAACGAAAGCCCCACCGAAACCACCGTGCACCGACCACCGTGCCGGTATTTCCCATTCCTTTTTTTCTCAGCCGCCATGTGATTCGTACTCTGTGTGCCATGCACTAGCCCGTCCCCGCGAGCCGCGTCTGGTTGCTTCCCCCAGGAAGAGCCAGGATACGGCTCTATTACTACCCGAGAGAACGCCACCTCGCGATCACGCCGATCCCGCGACAGTGCGACAGATCACGACAGGAGCGCCGATCGGTCAGCCACAGGCGCGAGGTGGGGGGGGGGGGGGGAATAGACGAACCAGCAGAGGAGGTATTGTAATACAGTACTACCGGGACAGCGGGGTCTCCGGTGAGCAGTGACGGCATCCTCAACCACCGTTTGGGCGGTGATCGCCGCCCTTGTCCTCCGTCGCGCATCTCAGAAACTTGTCGGGCAGGTTGTGGCGGCCCTTGTAGTGAGTACACAAGTTGTGGTCCGCTTGCTGCGCGGCCATTCGTGCGTATTCTGTGCCGTTTTTAGCCCACGCCGCATGCAGCATGTCGGCTGACCACGACGCACGCGGATCGAACGTGTCGTGCGAAAACCAGATGCGCACGAACCCCATACCGCGAAGCCGCTTCGAGTACTGCCCGTAATGCACACTTCTAGGCGGGATGCCAAATTGGTCCATCTCCATCAGCACGAGTTCGACCTGCTCCACGATGCCGGTCTCGAAGACGCGCGCGATGCAGCCTTCGCAGTCAATGAGCAGGGCGTTGATCTTCGTGCCGATAAACTTTTGGAGCGTCTTGGGCGTGATTGAGGGCACCGCGTCTAGCCCCGTTGCTCCGCTCCTTCCGACTTCGTCCGCAGAGAGCGTGTACCCATCATACCCGGTTCTGCCAGCCACCATGAACGAGTTCTTCAAAGCAACGACACCGAGAACCGCGTGAAAGTTGCAACGGTTGAGCTCGCGATTCTCGAGCAGAAACTTGTGGGCGCTCCTATCAGGATCAACCGACACGACATTGCCAGAATTTTTCGTCGCGTGAGCCAGCCGGCACGAGGTTGTCCCAAACCTCGCTCCAAATTCGATCACCGAATGACTCGGACTGATGAGTGCGTCGACCATCACCCATTCATCGATCTCGATGCCACAAATGCCCGTGGGCGGACCGCTCTTGTATCTATCCCTGGAGGGAGGGATTTATTTGGTAAGAGATGGGACAACCATTGGAGAGAGGTCTCGCGACAGGATCTCGAATGCCAAAAGTCGCGTGCTCGATCGTCTTACCCCCATCTTCTCGATCTACCCCCCCCCCCCCCCCCACCCCCAAAAACACACGACGGCGCCGCAGCTCGGCGACAAGCGACCGGGCCCGTCTCGCGGCTGCGCCGTTGCCTGCGCCGCGCCAAAGTCGAGGAGGGGGAAAGATAGTGTGGCGCGGCCGGCTCGGCTCCGCGCCCCGCAAATCAGTAACCAGCCATCCGCCCCCCCCGCATCCTCGCATAACGTAGGTAACCGGAAAAAAAGAAATTCGTCCACGTACGGCTCTTAGTGAGTCGTTTTGGTGGCCTCAGGCATCCCCAAGGGAGCCTCTGCGGTGCCACATAAGCTGCTGAGTGATTGTCGAGACTTTAAAGGATTCGTTTGAAGGAACGCAAAAGTTAGACGGTACTATGGTCACCAGTAAAGCCGAAACGAAAATTCGACTTTGAGCCGAGGCTTCGTGGCACTTGCATCGCGACAAGGTCACACGCGGACGCTCCAGCCTCTCAGCTCACCACCTCGCCTTCTCTGTCGCCCTCCTGGCCCAGGCCCATCAGTAGCAAGCCTAAGCCGTCCCAGACCGCACTTATTTGGGTCTGCAAGCTCACACCGGCTCGTGATGCCACGGAGAGGGCTCGAGATTGTCTCCGGTGGACCCCATCCGAGGCGATTGCGAGGGCTTTCCGGAGGCCATCACCGGCGCCACCGACCGTGAAATGTCCTGACCCGCAGCCTTCATGCACCAGGCGCATGGATGCAGTCATAATATGTAGGCCTTGTCTCCCGAAGTTTTGAGCAATAGCCGCAAAAGGTGCTTTTTTCGGCAGTTCATCGCGACACGTCCAGGTGCCGACGAAGCGGCTTCCCAGCTCACCACCTCGCCTTCTCTGTCGCTCTCCTGGCCCAGGCCCATCAGTATCAAGTCTGAGCTGTCCCAAACCGTCCTTACTTTGGGAGAAGAAGCCCACTCTGGCTCATACCACGGCTCTTACGGCCTCATACACGCCCGTTTCACCCACAGACACCGCCGGCACGCACTCCCACTTCACACATGCTCAAGCACAACCCCACCAAAGCACAGCCCTGCTCAGAATGGGCAAGGGCTACCACTTGGTGACCCAGGTAGCCTCTGGCTCGCCACTGCACTCGGCTCCTCCGCAGCTGTCTCGGGCTCTCCCCACGACAGCACCCCGAGACGGCAAGCTCTGACGCCCGTCTGGTGGGCCTGCTGTGTCCACAGCCGCCCCTCACAAGCTCGCTGGCGCCGCTTGAACGTCTGAGAGCAGCCTCCAGAAGGAATGGGTCGCGGTGCATGTCGCCATCGGCCTCCGGGGGTGGCCCGGTGGGCCCGGGGCCAGGCCACTCTCGGCGAACGTAGGCCGGGTACGCCTGCGGGTACGGGTTTTGAGGGCGCCCGCCCAAGACTCCCAAAGTAGGCCTTTAAATATGAAACCGCCCACCCGCGCCTCAACCCCTCATCTAGATGTCAGTACTGAGTACTGTTCATAGGCGACCCTAGAGGCGACCCTCATCCCGCGCATTTAGCTCGTCAATTGTCATCACATGGTCCGCGGGGCTCAGCGCGAGGAAGGCTTCGCGCTCCTCGGCGCCGAGCTTCAGCCTCTCGGCGTGCCGGAGCACCTCGTGCGTACAGAGGTCCATCAGGCCCTCCGGGTGGAAGGAGCTGTAGTCGGCGTGGTCGCGCGGCAACATCAGCTTGAGCAAGCTGACCGTCAGCTTGTCGCACCGGCCTCCGAACCCACCGCGTGGCAGGTCGCCCTCCGCTCGGCGAGGTCGAGGGCCGACTCGTGCTGCTTGTCGCGCAGCGCAATGTCGCTCCCAGCCTCGACGAGCGTGACGATCGCCTCGCGGTGGCCGTTGACGACCGCCCAGTGCAATGGCGTCCGCCCCCACACGTCCCTCGAGGCACACGCCGAGCCGTCGTCGTCGCTGGCCACCGACTCCCAACGGTCGAGCAAGGCCGCCAAGCATCCGTTGTCCGCTCCCGCGCGAGCGGCGTGGTGTAGCGCCGTCTCGACTGGAGTCGAGGGCGCCTCGCCTTGACGGCAGCCAGTGCCGCCTCCGCCGCCTCTGCCGCCTCTGCCGCCGCCGCCGCAGCCGCCGCCGCAGCCGCCGCAGCCGCTGCCGCTGCCGCGGCGGCCGCCTCCTCCTAGGCCGCTGCCAAAGCGTCCGCCTCGGCTTCAGCCTCCCGGCGCGCCTCCGCTGCCACCAAGGCTGCCTCCTCACCCGCCTCCGCCGTCTCCTCCTCGCTCGCTTCGCCTGCCGCCTCGGCCTGCCTCTCCCAACGCCTCGGCCAACCCCTCGACCGACGTCTCCGGCGTGATGCCGAACCGGATCCTGTCCTCGTGGAGCTCCGCGAGAAGCCGGAGCAGCCCCTCCCTGTCCAACGGCGCGGGCTTGGCTGCGGCTGCCTCCGCCGGCGCCTCTTTCTCCTGCGACGGCCCAGCGCCGCCGCTCCCGCCGCCCTTCTTCTTCTTCTTGCCCTTCTTGCCCTTGCCGCGCTTCTCCGCCTCGACCTCCGCCAGCAGCTCGTCGGCGTGCCGCGCCGCCTCCGCCTCCGCTGCCGCCCTCTCCGCCGCCCCCGCAGCCCACGCTGCCTCCTTCGCCGCCGCCTCGGCCGCCTTCTTGGCTGCTGCCACGGCCGCCGCGTGCTCCCCAAAGGCGCGCACGCACTTGGCGCTGCCCTGCTCCTTGGCAGTCTGCAGCGCTGTGTGTCCAGACTCCGTGCGCAGCTTCGTGTCGGCGCCCGCCCGCAGCAGGCAGAGCAGGGCCGCGGGGTGGGGCGCCTTTGTCTGCGCCGCAGCGCGGCCCTACCGGATTCGGTACTTCAGCTTGGTATAGTATCATCGTATGCCAGTCTACGGCCACACACACACACATAGTGTCCTTACCACCCCTGGACTGCATCTGCGCAGTTTCGTACCGCTGCGGCGCGGTTTTGCAAAAACCGTTCTGCAGCGGCGCGGTTTTGCCCTTCACCCGCAGCCTGGATTGATAGTCATTGTGGGTGTGGGGGCCGCGGGCCAGGACTTTTGTTTGAACAAAGTTTTGACAGTACATTTCTGTCGGGCCTTGGAACAGCTTGTGAGTGGTCACTGAAGACCTTCACAGTTGGTGGCGGCGGGGCAACGATCCCCGGGACATTACGACAACATGTCGTCGACGGACAAGCTGGTGATTCCGGCCTACAAACAGAGCTCCGAGCGGGAGTTCAACGAGTGGTTCCGCAACCTGCGGACCGCGGCGAAGCAACACAAGTACCTCCTCGACATCATCGAGGTGGGCACCATCCGGCCGGGCGCGGAGCGCGAGGCCGAGGCGGTCGCGCTGCACGTGCGCTACAAGAACATCGGCACTGCGGACGGCCTCATCCCGGCCATGATCGACAAGTTCTTCAAGGACCTGTCGGTGACTCTGTCGCGCCAACTCTACGGTGCGCTGCAGAACGCCGTCAAGGACGACGACACGCTCGCCGAGATGTTGGCGGACGAGGACGCCGACCACTACGACGACATCAAGAAGGGCATCGCGGCGATCAAGTCGCTCATCGAGTCGGAGGACACGAACTCCAAGAACGTGCGCACGAAGGCGCTGCGCGCGGATCTCGAGAAGGCGTACTCCCCCGACGCTCTCAAGGACCTCACGTCCGCGAGCCTCGCCAAGTTCAAGACGGGCATCGAGCAGGCGAACAAGTTGCTCAAGGACTCCCAGTGGCACCTCCCCGACGAGGTGATCGAGGAATACATCCTCGACGCGATCGCCGCCAAGGGGGCCACGCTCGGCGCAAACATGCGCGTGCAGATCGGCATACAGCGCCAACTCGCCGCGCAATCGGGCAAGACGTACGGCCTCAAGGCGTCCACGCTCGCGATGCAGGGCATCCTCGACCAAGACAACGCGGACCGCGCCAACGAGGCCAAGGCGGCTGCGCAGGCGGCGTTCGAGGCGGAGATTGCCTCGCAAGGCGTGCTCAAGGAGAAGCTCGCGGCCGCCGAGTCCCAGGTCGCCGCTCTCCAGGCGCAGATCAAGTCCGACAAGGGCGGCGGGGACCGCGGCGGCCGCGCAGCCGCTGGGCGCAAGCCGTGCCCCCACTGCAATGGGTTGCACGGTGGCAAGTGCATCGGCGACCTCATCTGCAAGGGGGTCCCTGTCGCCAAGGTGCTCGAGGAACTCCCCGACCGCATCGACCACGAGACGAAGGTGCGCATGGCCCAGTCCTCGTACAAGAAGGTGTGCGCCAAGTCCCCCGGCCGCACCCTCCCGCACGACCCCTTCAAGAAGTCGGACTCCACCGCGACCGACCACGAGGAGGTGCGGGCGGCGCTGGCCGACTCTGTCACCCGCACGTTCGACCCGGACGGCATCGTCGGCGGCTTTGTCGCTGGCGTCGGCACCGACCAGGTCGAGGACACCTTCCCCGACTCCAACCCCACCGACACGCCCGCCATCCTCAAGGCCAAGACGGCGGCGCGCGATGCGGCGGAGGCACGGGCGCGCGGCGGGCTGTGGGTCAAGTTCACCTCGTTCGTCACCGCGCTGCCTCGCCCGTACATCGGCGCTTCCATCCTACTCGTCCTGCTCGCGTGCCTCATCCCGGTCTACATGGGCTCGCCTGCCTCGATCGGCACGCCTGTGGCCGACGCCGTGGACGAGCCCTCGAACATGGGCGTGATGGTCGAGTCCGTCACCGCACTACCCCTCGAGCTGTCCACCGGGCCGGCGACTGGCTCAGGTGGCGGAGCAGAGTACGCCATCGAGGAGGACCCGCTCCAGCCGATCTACCGCAAGGTCGCGGGCGACATGTTCCGCGCGGTGAATGACATCGACGTGCCCAAGACGGT